TAAAACGAGAAAGAGAGAAAGACAAAAGAGAACTGGGCAGGGGAATATTTTTATTGTATAATTATAAGTGTATATGACGAATATATATGTATTTGCATGTGTATATACAATTTTCTCTCGCTTTATATAAACAGAAACGCAATTTATACAATTCTGTTGTATAAAGTGAGAGAGGCGAGCACAGAGGGAGTGAGCAAGAGAGGAGAGTGGCGAGCGAGAGTTTGAGGGAGAGAGGCGCTGGCAAACAGTTTGCTACATGATACAATTAAATCAAAGTATGGTTATACCATTTAATTTGAATTAATAGTTTGCCATTATGTACAATTTTCCCTTATTTATATGATACACATATTAGTATCAAATAACAAATTTGTGTATATGTTACAATTGGTACAAAACATTAAGGTTCTATATATGTAGTATTCTTTAACAGGTTGAATATCGTAACATTGATTTAAATCATAAAAAAACAACAATATTTTATTATCAGATACAAAAATATATTTTGATTGTTTGAATAAAAACTTTTACTGTTTTTTCGTAAGAACAGGGAGAACGTTTCATAAATTTCAAAATTAAAAAAAAATAATAAATTCAGTTAGAGGATTATGAACGATTGATTGGTTGAAGGAAGAAACGTAAGCGTGATTTGTGGGAGTCAATTATAATTTTGTTTAATTATAATTTCAGTTTTTAATCCCTTATTTAACGCATTAAACTGATAACAACAACTTAATAATTTTAAGTATCCGCCCGTTATTAATTAAAGTATCCGCGCTGCTATATTATGTATCCGAAAAACACTAAAAAAAGGGATTTTTTGATAATTAATGAAAGAGTAGGGAAAGGAAGTAATTTCTTTCTTATACTATGTCATTTGCCTAATTTTTACTAGATTATAAGTGACACTCCTTAAACCAAAGTTGTGTGAAGCTAGCTTGGTTTTGTGTTGAAATTCCACTATCATAGATTTTTTATTTGTTTAGAGAAGATATAATAATATATATAAATTGCGTTTTATTTATATTTTGTTCTTTTTTAATATGGTATTACATTGTTTTATTTATTGTTTCTCATTTTAAAAGGTAAAAGGAAAATTTGAGCTTTGATTCTTATTGTCATTGAATAATGCATAAAAACATATATAAGAAATTTTATCATCATTGTAGTTCCAGTTAAATAACAGGAGCTCAAAAACTAAATATATCTTCTATAGTTGATGCAAAGGAACTTTCATCCATTCAAATGTCTTCCCTGCATAAGAGTTGTGCAAATCAAAGTTTTGACCAAAAACTTAAGCAAATCTTAATTGTTAACAATATAAACTTATTTTTTTAATATTGTGTTGTTCACATTACTCAAGTCAAATACTACTATAGAGAACCCAGTGGCGACTTGTTTATGAAGCTATTAGAACTGAAAATGTTATAACAAGGAAAAAACAGAGAATATAATTTACACTTGATTCTCTTATGTCGAGATCACTATTCATAATAGAAAATGTGAAGTAAATTTTGGTAAGAAACTTTTGAGTTGAAGGAGAAACCACATCTTCTCCTAATCATAAAGCAAGTATTTTAAGAAGTATCTGTCAAAAAATCTTCCTACTACCTGGAGATAGGAGTTGATTTCCTCCTTTATGGTGTCTTACACTTCAATCATTTTGATTATTTGTCAGATTTAATTAGTAAATGCTTTTGTGTCTGCGGTATGTCACTTTACCTCTTAACCTACAATCTCTGTTTCGGTAATACACCTACGATAAATTTCACTGTTAGTTCTTTTCTTTTATCATGAGACCAATTATATATAGTCACCTTGTCCTTTCTGTCAATAATATTAGGACTTCGACAGACAAAGGTGAAATTAAAAGAAGTTCCCAACTTCTTTTAGGAATAAAATGGCATTAAAATCTCTATATTCCTTTTCTTAATTATCAAATCAAATAGCTTACTACTTTTTGAACTTGGGGAACATTATAAAGACATGAAATAACATACAAGACATGAAAATGACACCATTGTAAGAGCTAATGTTCACTGGTTCTAACATATACTTTAACATTTAACATTTCATGAGTTCTCATTAAATATAGAGGCAACTAATATATTATTATAAAGAGATGCGGCAGAACACCATCAAAACCAGATCATTCTTTAGCCACTACATATTCATAGACAGCAGAAAATATAACCACCTAGATAATTTCATTTGCGTGCTAAAAACAACTTACCATTAAACTCTCCGCAGAGATTGTCCTGTTGGTACCCTTTAGCCAAAATAGCTTCCCCTTATTCTTCATTTTTCCTCGGACAATGAATCTATTTAGACATGGCAAAAACAATATGAATTATTTTTCTTGTAAGAATAACCAAATTAACATAAGGGAACCATGAATGAAGTTGAAAGGCATATAAAATTGAGATTTTTTTGCTAAGTCTCAACAATAATACAAAGATATTCCAACTTTCTAACTATTGCACTTCTTCAAATAGCTGGTGTGTGTTAAAAATACAAACATACGATAAATGTAAAGAATCATAACCATAATACAAAATACAGAAAATATATAGTTTGTACATAATTCTATCATTGTGAGACTCCTATTATGTGTTATCATGTTATGTGATGCTCTTCTTTTAAGACAAAATTTCAACATTTTGCTTGTTCACATGATAAGGCAAATGTAATAGTGAGATGATTAAAGAAAGTAAGCTCACGAAATATCGTGTCTTCACATATAGGCTCTTTCATATATATTATTGTTACATCTTCCGCTACCTACTCCATGTAAACATAGTAAGATGACATTAGATGCACTTACGAAAAATGGTTAATAGGATAGAAGGTGTGATAGATAAACTCTAGGGCAGAACTTCCTATTACCACAGAATACCAGCAATTTATTCCTATGGATCTCACACAACTACTTTAGAATGCCTAATTTAAAAAATAAATAAAAGAATAATTTGTACTTGATGCATATCGTCAAACACATTTGCTGCATCAAAGTTCTTCTCTTTTCATTTATATTTTTCCTTTCTGATTTAATCAATCAAAGTTAGTTCTGAAGAAGAGTTTAAACAATCAACTACAACCATGTAGTACAAAATTCACAAAGAAAAAGTTTAACACAGAGAAAAGAAAAGGAAGAAAAATGCAAAAGAATGGACGCAGATCATACATTGAGATTTTCTTAAAAAGATAGAATCACATGTTTCTATGCCCTCTAATTTTTTGGTCCATCAAAGCAATGGAAGGGCTTTGAAAACTCAAAGTTAAAATCATGAATATAGTAGTACCAAACTGATGTTAGTAACAGCAGCCAACAACTATTACAAACATGCAAAAAAGATGAATCATGTTCTATATGCATATATTTTTCCACTTATCAAGTAGAAACCAAAATTACATCAAATAGGAGAAAGCCTAAAATAAAATTCAAACTGAAAAAGATTTGAGCGTAAGATAGAAGAAAAGGAACCTGAAATTTGGCCTCGACACCCACTGTGCACAAACAAAGTTAGAGTTGGTTTTACGATATACATATATCAAAGTAAGAAAACTATGACGCACTTTGTTGAATTTAGCAAGAGATGTAAGAGAGGCATGAAAAACAAAGGAAAAAATCCAAAGAGTAAAAAATGGAAGAGAATAGGCAGAGAAAAGTATCTTTTACAAAGAATATTTTTAGGGCACTATTAGGCATGTTACATTAACTGCAATCCAACAGATCCTCAATTTCTGCATTTATCAACATAATAGTTCCTTGAGTATCTTAAATAAGGCAAATTTTTAAAAACTAAATATACAGGCTCTTTTTCGAAACATAGTATCATGATGATCAAGCTAAACTAATTGAGTTCCCTATTAGCATTGTACTTGTAAGTCTGAACTTTTATTAGTGGCAATAAATTAACCAGAAATCGTGGACAAAGAATTAGAATTAAAATTTTCAACAAACTACATTCGACGAAAACGAAAATCAGATAAAAAGAAAGGACAAAGAGAATTCAACCGCTACTCACCACTTACCAATAGTAAGCACCCGCTTACAACATCAAAGATCCATCTACCAAATATGATCACAAATCCAAATTTATTCAAAAATAGAATAAGACGGGGAGAATTAAGAAAGAGAAGTAAACATCAGGAGATGAAAGCAGAAAAATGTGGTAATAGTAGTAATAAACGGAGAAATAAGAACTTAGGAAGGAGAAACTTGTACATTCGAAGTAATTTTGTCCTAATTTCTCTTTCAATACAAAAAATCAAAGCTTTATAAACCCATAAAATAGAGTTTTTCAGTTGCACGTGTGAAAACTCATATTTTGATTTTTCCCTTGTTCACAAACAAAAGTCTGAAGAAAAAAATTGAAGCTAGGGACTTCCATTTCGATTTTCCCCTTTTGTCACAGAGAAAAAAATTGAGAAGATAGAAGAATAATAAAGGGAAAAGGAATACCTTGAAATTGAAGCAACACTCTCCGAAAATTGAAGATGAGAAGAGCTTTGAGTAGATGAAGAGCAAAGTAAAAACTTGAATTGCAGCAACACTTTCCAAAAATTGAAAATGAGAGAGCTTTGAGCAGATGAAAAGCAAAGTAAGAACTTGTAAGAAGTGGAAAACTAAGACACGTATGATAATTTACCATATAGATGTCTTTATAAAAATGAGTAAAATTTAATACCCAATTAAATTGTGCCAGAAATGACCAAATTTGTATAGCTTTTAGTTCATCTATTTAGTGGGCCTCAATGTACAATTTGTATAGCTTTTAGTCCAGCTCTTTAGTACAGTGTTGGTCCTAACAAACTGTCATATCTAAATATGGGTAAAATAATAAATATATATAATATATATATCCTATATGTTTGCTTCTATTTCTTAATACAATTTAAAATATCAAGAAAAATAAATTTAAATATTATTTCACAAATTAAATCACTACATACAAAAATTCACCACAAAATAAATACATATTAGAGATATATTGATATGTGAAAATTTAATAAATAACATATTAAAGATGACTTATTATCGGTCATACCAAGAGTTTCTAATAAGAGAAAATTACATGGTTAAACAAACATATACTAGTTAATTAGTTATCATAACTATAGTTTTAATTGATTACCACTCGCGACCAATATTCAGTGATAATTACGTGGGCTAAGATTTCGAGTTTGTATAATTTACAAGTTTGTATAATATAATTTGTACAACTTTTGTATAATATAATTTTGTATAATATAATTTGTATAATTGTTTAAAGTTTAGATGTTTGTGCTTGTATATATTCTTATTTCGAGTTTGTACAAAAAAATAGCTCAATTATACAAATATATTCGCAAATTATACAAAGACGCAACTTAAACGGTAGCTACAACCTGTAAATATGCAAACTATAACTATGAAACATAATTAAGTTTACTATAGTGGCTATTTACGAAAATTCTCCTTCTAATTATATGTAGGGGAAACAAAGCAAATACCCCATAAAAGCAAAATAATTACAAGCATATACCCTTTTATATTCAAGTTAAGCGAAATTATCAGCATTAATGATACCAATACAATATATAATACTGATTTAGTATCAGTTAAGCAAAAATTATCAGCCTTAATGATATACCAATACAATATATGATATTGGTTTAGTATCAGTTAATCGAAAATTATCAGTCTTAATGAATGAGGGGTATGGACTGTATATTTATGAGAGAATGACTATTTCAAGAATTACTTTATGTTTGGATATGAACTTATAATTTTATTTTATTTTTATCAAAAGATATGAACTTATAATTATTTTAGGGCCCGCTTGGCCATGCAATATAATATCATGATATGGAATCATGAGATGAAATTGAAGTTTTGTTTGACATGTGATATGGAATTTTTGTGTTGTATATTTTCTCATGAACATAAAGATTTACTAAGTTGTAAAACTATTAAAATAGCCCCAATTGTTTATTCAATCTTATCAAATAAACAAAAAATTATAAAATCGCATAATAAATTATTACAAAGCTATTTGTTATCCACTTAAGTAATTGTTTCATCTAAATTTAATTTAATAAAAAAAATTGAACATAAATTGTAGTGTACTGGTGTTTAATATAATCCTCTCACATAGTACGGACAATTTTCTCACGTTGAACTTGCATTTCTCAATCATGTGACCGAAAAGACGAACAAACATTGTTACTTTGAGCCATTTATTGGTCAATATCATCCGCAACTATATTTTCATGACATAGACCATAAATATTTCATCAGTACTTTGGTATTCTCGCAAATAATTATGTAACACTGCACAAGCTATGAAAATTTTCATTTGTGTATCAATATCATAATGTTTCATGCCTTGTTTCAGTATTCTAAATATATTTTTCCAAGCTCCAAACGT